CTTTTTTTTTTTGCTAAACTGATCTTCTCATATTTTGGTGCCTCACATCAAATATTCAACAGAATTTGAAACATATATACCATCATAGAATCTCATATTTTGTTGTCTTACATAAAAAAAATTACAGATTTCGTGGAACACATATAACATTTTCAGTATGGTTTAGAAAATAGTATGTCCATCCACATGCGTGTCTGCAGCCGATCACCACTTTCATTGAATATCCATCGCCATTAACATTGGATCACCATATCTAGCTAGCTGTTTGAATATTAGATATTAAATTTATCAATTTGTTATAAACTTCTAGATATAAATCTACTATGAAATATATTTGTCGTAAATCCGAGATAGTTTTACAAAAAAAGAATGTCAAACATATATCCCATTTTTTTATGAATTAGTTCTAACCGTTTCAATTACGTTTATTTAGGACCATTACATAGTAACGATTTGAAGAAGATCGCAAGTTGATTTTAAAAAGTTACAATTTACTACGTATTTTTTTTATATGTGTACCTTAAATTTGGTTGCTTTATATTTATTTACTAGGTGATCGTCCCGCACCATATGCGGGTATAATTTTTTTTTATCGAATTATGTTATTTTTAGTATTTAATAACACGATTATATCATCGGTGATGTGCAGCAATAACCAAAAAAAAAAATTATATTTGCAATCTAATGAAAATAGTATGATATGAAAAATAGGAACCATTAGATTAGGATGATTTAATTAGTTAGTGAAATATAATTTTTTAAGGTTATTTTAGCCAATTTCTCTTATATCATTTATAAAAATTAAATATGCATCTTTGTTAGTTTTTATATAAATGTAGGAAATTAATATGCATATATATAAAATTTTGAGTATCGTTGTGAAAAGTATGGACTTTTATTTGGTAACATTTTTGTATTTGTGTAGAAATAAAACGCAAATATTAAAAACAATATGTAAAATTTCATAATTAGTAAAAAAATGCTTCAACATATTGAAAACTTTAGACACTGCAAGCATGAAGAATTTGTAAACTCCATTAACGATGGTAACTATATACGTTTTGTTACCA